TCAGTTGAGTTGAGTGAGGAGTATGAACTGGATTGACTACGAGTCATTGCATTATGCCTTGTATGAGCGTTTATAAACCAGTCTTCCAATAGGATTGTGCAATGCTGTAGGGTGTAAAATTATTTAACTCGTCGCTGTTGCATGTACGCTATATGGGGACTCCTTGAGCATTTTGTATGAGGCATTTGGTTCCATTGGCTCGGCTGCCACCAACACTGCGGTGAATCAGCTTTGGCCAGACTTGCACCACGTTGGCCAATTCAACAACAAGGCAAGTGGACAGGCCGGTGCACTGAGGAGGCTCTTCTCCCTTGACACCACCTCGTGAACATTGAGTTGCTATCCTTTATCGATGTGGCAGATAGTGTATACTCGTTGAAAAGTGTGGAGGAAGAGCAAAGGGGGGGAGGCGAAGGTTTAGAGGTGGCACAAGACAGTGTCGTCATCATTAAACCACCACCTGCTCATTAATATTAATGACCACGTTGGCTCGTTACTAAAGGGGTGGAGCACAAGGCGGTGACGTCATTCGTGTTCTATGTAGAGGGGCTGTACATTTTTTGCTTTTAAGACAGTGTTGTTGACGAACGTGAGGTTTTTTTTTACATGCTTGTGCACCACTCCCAACGCAGCACCAAATTATTCACTCCTGTGATGTTTCCCAATCAGTTATGATTATTGCACCAGCAGATGGAGTTTAACGATAACTGCCACTGCCTTATGCAGCATTTGCTCCCTCTCCCCAACCCAATCCCCACTGCCTTCCCTGTACACTTTTCAATTAATATACACTATCTGCTACATCGACACAGCATAGGCCTCTCGATATTATGTTAACAGCCCTGTCAATTCACTGCTGGATAAAGTTATCTTGATGTCATGTCAGAATCATAATAGTTGTTTATACAGGAGGAATCCGATGAGCTATCATGCTCTTTTTCACAGATGTCCAGCACGTTTTTTTTACAGATGTTGGTCATGGGGGCCTCTTTGACATACTTCACCATGCTGGTCAGTGCGGGGGTTGGTGAACAATGGGAGCTCAAGGTGCGCTCTGATGTCGCGTAGCTCTGACTGGAAGTAAACTAAGGTTGCAGGTTCATAGAAAGCGGTGTGCAAGCCCCAGTGCTGCCTTGTAAAATGAAGCAACACAAATACAGATGTTATAAATGTGTAATTTTGGTAGTTCCAAGAAGAAGCCTCAGGATTTTGCTTGAGCTCAACATTACAAAAACGGAACCAGGCCTCGTACAGAGGCATTTTTGTTGTCGTAAAAACATTTAAAGAACCCTTTGAACCATTGAACATTTAGTAAAAAAACAGAAATTTACTTTTATGAGAACACAATTCCGATGCCTTAATTGTCAGCTGAAGTGGCATTGGGGCCTTTTTGAGCACACTGCTAATTATCTTGTCAATGCTGTACAAAGTGCTGAAGCATAAAAATTATTATTTTAATGTTACCGACTGTCAGACACCCACTGTTATTATAATTGCTTTCCCCCCACATTCTGTGAATGAGCTTACAAGTAGGTTTTCATGACTGGGTTGATTTATGTATCCAACTCACTGCAGATGAAAAAAAAATGTGCACTATCGGTAAGATTTAATTGAAATTAAGTGTTTTAAAAAATAATCAAAACATTGAATCTTATCGATTCAAACCTTCCAGAAATTTGGCTGTGGGATTTTTTTTTACTTCCATTGTTGAGTAAAATATCAACAAATTAATTAGCATCTTACTTTGAAGCGGTGGCATGGTCCAGCCAGTAGCCCGTTCGCCGCTTGTGGCAAAGGTTCACGGTTCAAATCCAGTGGCCTCCCTGGTTATTACTGCGGGTGTATTGGCAATAAATATTGTTGAGAAGATTTCCGTGATGTCATTTGCAAGGATAGAAAGGTCATTGTGTGCCTGTGTTAGAATAATTACCAGCCAAATGACTCGATTGAGATTATTCAACTCAACAATCGCCCCATAGTGTGAAAACATGCTAGGACCTTCCTGTAAACGAATCATGAGACATCCGTGAGGCTTAACTCTAAACAAGCCTAGTGATAATGATAATCGTTGCGTTCGTGTGTGGCTGACCAATATCATTACACAGATACCTATTGCTTTTTTTATTTTTTTTAAATTGACTAATGTGCGTATCCTGCCATCTGGGTCAGTTGGTTAAGTTTAAGCTAATTTTAAGTTAAATAACCATACATTTGATAACAGCGTGACTTATTTACAGTAGAACCCCTTTTATTGTGTGTGTAGGTGGCTAATCTGTGCTGCGGATTAACCACGCCAGCCACACTTGCATTACCAAACACCTAACAAATTATGTAAGATATGTTAATATGAAGGTACATATGCTTACATGGTGAAGCAGGTTAGTCATTGTCAATTCATTTAACTAAATGTTCAATTATGTTACGATAATGTTACGTTCAATTAATGCAAATACATTTTAATTTTGAGGTGATGTGATTGCCTAAATGTCTTTCCAATCTGGACTTGGCTTCGAGCAGTCAGCTCGGTTGAACATATTTTCGTCTCTCAACTTCAATATCTGTTGTAATCTAAGTGCATTATAATGTATGCAAATATATTAACTTATAGGCATCATTTCCTACTACATCCTGCTTAATTGTGGGGGCATTTTGATGACATCACGCCACCTTTTTAAGGCCCAAGGCTGTAAGATATATTTTCATATTTATGGCATTCACCTGATGTTGGTTGCAAGTGCCAGCGAAATGTCCTACCAAATTACTAACTGTTATGGATTGCTCCGCTTTATGCGGGTTCGGTTTGTGCGATTTTGCGTATCTGCGGCTGACATTTCCACCTAAATATTCGCGATATACGGTTTTAATCCATTCGTATGCCGATATTGTGTGTACTGTGTGCGCTACTCAGCAGGCACAGGTCCCGTGCGCTTTTGCTTTGTGTGCCTCTTTTTGCGCCCTTTTTTTCTTAGAACGCATCTCCCGCGTAAAGCGAGGAAAACCTATAGTACATTGGCACGCTTTTTCACGTGACAACTTTATTTGGCTGTGTTGGGTGGAGGAGGGGGGGGTGTGCATGACACACATTGACATATTGTGCACGCGATCTGACCCAAAAGTAAAAAAAAAATATACGATCTTATTTAAATACTATTTATATCCAACGCCTGTATATTTGGAGTTTTCACGTCTTCCAACGTGGCCACGTGGTTCTCCATTTTTTTCCCCCTCATTTAGAATCACGCCTTTAGAGTATTTGGCTGCAATACGTTTCCATGTGATAAGCCACTTACGTTCACTTATCGTTTGTGGGCTTGTCGCGTCTGAAAAAGAGCGATATTGCTCGGTAGGCCTTAGCTTGTAAAATTATTTTACTTGCTCGAAAGCTATATAAGTTGTCTTTCTTAAAGAGCAGTGGTAACAAGGATATATATCTGCTGTTTTCAAAATGCCTTAATAGCCCAGAGGTTGCGTCTCTCACTAGCAAGCCATTTTATGCCGAGTCGACGATTCGCCCCTCATTGCTGCCCAGTAGTTTCTCTGGGGGTTTACCCGAAACGTCGCTGCCTCTTGTAAAGCGGATGATGAAGACCTTTTGACTTGCAAGAGTATGCCATTATACGTACTGTAAATCCACTGCTGGTTGAGGGCTTCCCCACATCGTGCGGGTCACAGGGGTTGAGTACACTTCACCATGCGTAGATGTGACGGGTCAATACCAACATGACAGTTGGAACAAGAAAGATAGTCCAAACGAGACTGACAATACAAATGAGACAACCTATACAAACAAGACAATACAAAATAGTACTTACTAGACAAACTAAAGAGGCACATTGCAAAGGGGATGAAACAAATGGTACAGAAACTCAAATGAGAATGATACAATGCAGACAAGACAATCCAAATAGGACGTACACATTACGTGCAAGTTACACAGTCCACAAAACTTGTTCATTACAGACGGCATAGCACAAACGCAACCAATAAGGAATGCTATTTATTGAATCAAAATCGCAACCCCACATCGTGCCAGTTTATGAAATCGCTGGGGGTGAACTCATACGTGCATGAGTGGTGCTTTGGCAAGCTACATGCCCATGAATGCAGCCCCTGTGCCTGGCCCTACCGAAGTGTTTGCCTGGCTGTGTGTGTGTCACCAGACATGCACAAGGCAGCATTATCTAACCAGCGGGATAGCACCTGTACTTGAGGTTTTGCTGTTGAATGTAGTAATTGTGCATTTGACATTTTCCAATGTATGCGGGAAATGTGTGTCCATATTTTGTGTCCATTGTAGTCGTTTGGCATTAAAATACTTTCATAGTTCTGTAACACCGTCATATAAACTGGCCTTGTCTAAGAAAAATGTAATGTGCACTGGTTTTTCAACATTTGTCATGTAGAGAATAATTGTTAACGATGGTCTCTACGTGAAAATGTCCTTGTAAAACAAGTAAATCCACCTTCCATGCCTTTATAGGCTGTAGGGGGCAACTGTGGGTCAGCGGTCTGCTCAGTCCAGCACGGTAAATAAGGGGCCCAGCGTGAGTTGTGTGCGAGGCCTCGGATTCTGTATCCATTGTCTCTCTACTTTGTGGAGAATAGTGGTGCAATGGTTTGTGCCCGCTCTGCTCTATAATCCCAGCGACATGGGTTTTATTGCTGGCCATGCTCCTGTCCTTGTCTTCACAATCCCCCCCATGTCATGTGAGGGGGCAGCCAGGGCCAGTTCTCTTATCTCTCACCACTGATGTTAGCCATGGTAGGGAATCGAACTCGGACATACCGATTCATAGCCAAGTGCCCCCAACTACTGTGCCTCTCCTGTCATCAAGTCTATGTGAATGTTCGGTCAACTCACATTTTTAGATTGTCATATACTAAACATGAGAATGTTTACGCGCTTGAGTCGTCCTATTTCACTGTTCGTGCCTTGGTGGTCCAGATGTGGTGGTGGTGTGGGGGGATTAAATCCGTGTTGTGCTCTGTGTCGTATGCAGGTACGTGGGGAATCTCTCCCGGCAGGTGACGGAGGCTCTCATTTTGCAGCTGTTTGGTCAGATCGGCCCATGTAAAAGCTGCAAAATGATCACAGAGGTGAACCAACACTCTTACTGTTGCTCACCAGTCTCACCGCTCACCACAGTCTCAGCCACTTGAGCGTGAATTGTTTCCGTATATTTGCGTCGTGATCTTACGTCCATGATAGAGGTTTTTGGGTTGGATCGCGTAAATATATAAATGTGTTGTTAAAACCCGCCACCACCCGACAGCCAACTAGTAAGGGTTGTCACGTAAACAGAACGTGGCCAATTCGTCACTAGTACAGCACACCGGTGTGTTGGAGAGCCAAGCCACAACATTTACAATCCGAGTATGACGTTTCGCCAGGAATTACAACTAGCTTGATCTTACGGTTGGAGAACTCACCATTCTATAATACACTTTTATACATATCTTACACGTGCCAATGTCGCGGTCACACGAATATGAGAACAAGTAACCCACATTTTTCTCACATTACAATGCACAAGGCTTCTTTGAAAACCTTAATGTGATTACCTGACGTGGAATAAATAATAATTTACATTTGTAAGAGGCATTTCATCCGTAGATCCCAATGCACCACCGTACAGTATATGGAAAGCAGGAAATAAACATAACCAGGGTAAATGGGCAGAAGTAGGGGGTGAAGGCCAATTTAAACAGGCGAGTTTTCAAGACAGATTAGATTCATATAAACCGGCACTAAAGACGAAACGTAGAGCATATTGCCCATGATTTATGAATTATATAAAATGATAATGCATTTTTAAACGGTATAGTGTCTCACTTTTTACTGCTTTGAAAATGCACAAATCAAAACCAATCCTTTATTGAATCTTCTACTCCGCATAGCCTCTTCATATTGGAGTAAGACTGAAATGCTTCACACTTTCGGTGTGTTCACCTTGCCCGTCTAACTAAAAGTTTGTGTACACCTCTTCCACAGTGTGTGGTTTGATTCAATTGTTACGTAATATACAATGTGTGTTCCTTGTGCTTCTACAATTAATATGGTGTACAGCAAATTGCATTAGATGCAAAGGAAAATCTGACCGAGTTCTATGACGTACAACTCTTTTATGTCAGGGTAGAGACATCACGTGGTACAGACGTGAATCATATTTATAGTAAACTTGAGAATTGATGTAATTAAATGGATTGTTACACCTCCACCCGCTGACTTATTGCCTAGGATGAAGCATTGGCTCCATGTGCCACTACTGCACTGTTTATTTTCAAGTAAAATTCATCCGAGTAAAAAAAAGCAAATGGGCAATCATGCCGTCTGAAACAAGAGCCACAACAACCACAAGAAACAGATAATGGGAAATAAGGGGAATGAGAAATTATAAAAATGGCAAACAATAGAAAACGCACAACTCTGGAAATCCGCAAGGAAATTGGGGTATAATTCATAGACTACAAAAGGAGAGCGATTTAATATTAAAGCAAAAAGATGCGAGCATCACACGGGTGAAAAAGATGTTGATGATTTTTGTGTTGTTACCTTCCGTCACTTGTTGTTCTGCGCCCGTGTGACTTAAGTGTGCTGTTTGAAAAACGAAAGTTCTTGCAAGGAGAAAACATGAAACTTGCATTAGAGCTGCTTAGTGTTTTGTTTTATTGGACAGTTAAAGCGGTGTAGCATGTTGTCAGGATTCTCACACAGTCCAAATAAACATGAGTCACTTTTGTTTGTGACGACTGGTTATTAAACCGCTTTTAAGGGAGAGATTCACGGCTGAAATTAAGGTTCAAAGCAACAATGCAATCCCAAAAAAACAGAATCGTGTAACGATCACTGCTATAAACAATGACATAACCAGCACTTGTAATGGTGAGTCCGCTGAGAGTAGAGGAATTTCTTGTTATATCAAAAAACATCTGAAACCACAAAGTATGGTGAAGAATAGCAGATATATGAGAAGGCATTAAATTGCCAAACAAGATAACATGCACAGAACTTTGTAAAACCATCAGGAAATGAATACTATGAATCAGAGAACACAGCACAAGTTATTAAAAATGTAAACACAAATGCTTACATCAAAGCAGTAAAAAGACGTTTGTGTTTTGTTAGTCTCACAAATGACAGCCATAAGAGAGCGAGATTGAACCGTGATGCATGACAGCGATTGAATCGTAAAACGAGCGGTGGAATCTTATGCAGGTCTCTTGCAAAATGAATTATCACCGACAGCTATCACGGAAAATGTTTTTGCTTGATGATATTTCAGATGTAATGCCTGTATAAGTAACCACCAATGTCCTTTGTAGTATAACAAGTTATAGTTCTTTGACCGGTTCATGGGTAAATAAGTCATTATTTACGTTGCATGGAGAGTTGCCAATTCCAGCCATTGCCATTAGACCTCCTTTGCCAGTACCAAAATGTAATAATAGGGTTTTTCCCCTTTTTTCTGGAAACAAAACTGAAAACTCTTTTTACAAGGATTCATGTCTACATTAACCACAATACCTGCAGTCAAAATGTGGACCAATCACTTTCAAGGACAATGCATATATTATCATAGTGTGTTTTTTTGTTTGCATTTTGACTGCAGGTATTGTGGTTAATGCAGACATGAATCCTTGTAAAAAAAAGGTTTCAGTTTTGTTGCCAGAAAAAAGGGGAAAAACCCTATTATTCCAGCCATTGTCTTTATTATTGCACTCATGTAAACGGATGCTTAGCGCATGTGCACCCATCTGCCATGGTACAGTTGAGAAGGCTGCAAACGTTCCTCGAATTCATCATCCTCCCAGAAGAGTCATTGTTCATAGATCCTCACGGATTCACAGGTAATTATTGATAGTGTAGTGTAAATGCGACTGATGGGCACGCCACTGTGGTAACAAAGCACATGCGCTGCATCGCAGCTCCCACTTTTATATACAGTAAATCCCAGGGTTGCGGAAGACCCGACTTACGGAAATCCGAATTGATGGAAATGCTCCCATAAATCATGTAAAAAAAATCAATATGCGGAAATGTTTGCGTTTCGTAAATAATGCAGCGCCGTGAGGTTGCGGATGAATGCCGCGGAGCGAGGCGTATGCCCCGCCCTTAATATTTTTTTCTGCTCATAAACAATTGGATAAAGTACATGTTCCATTAGTTTAATTACGGGTACTGTTAGGATAGCTATTCCATGAAGAAATCGTAGGAAGTGCAGAGCACATGTTGTGCGATACGATACAGGTTAGCGTTAGAAAACGGACGGACGGCGCGATGCAGTACTGAGAGAAAACGGTAGGGGGGGGAGGGCACAACTATTTCCAGATGTGGGATTTTATCGTTGATTTTGGAGGAAAAGTGTTCAGTTTCGGACATACGGAAATTTCGAGTTACGGATCGTTCTCAGGTACCTAACGCTTCCATAACCCGGGGACTGCCTGTGTGTAGTAATACAGTTTAGGGTGAGTTGTGATACACGCTTTACAGAACCTAAATGTGGAATAAATCTAAAAATCACATCGCACCGCTTGGTGTTATTTCATTTGTTAAGAGGGGTGTGACTCGGCCTCGTGTTGTCCAATGAGAGCGAGGAAGAACCATTTTCTTGAGTCCCTTGGCTCTCGCGGTGGCGAGATGTTAACTCCCTCGCCTGCTATGCAGGAGGTCGTGGGTTCGATCCCAACCCTGACGCCTGCATATTTGGAATTTACATGTTTTTCCTCAACCTTTGCAAACATGCGTTTAGAGTTTGGCTGCTGTAAATTTCCACGTGCTGTAAATTTCCACGAGATAAGCCACTTCGTTGCGTTATCATTTGTGGCCAGGTCGCTTCAGGAAAAATATTATATAGCTTAGTGGGCCTTACCTGGTAAAATATAAAAATAGTTTATCTTGCTCGGGTCACGATAAATACAGCGACATCTTGTCCTGAGTATGGTGCCCAGACAAGGGATAGATGTCACGCGTGTGTATTCATGAGGAGGCTGAGACACTCGCTCCCCGGTGTGATGTCACATCACTAATCCAAGATGACAGGCTCTCTCTCACCAGTGCGTGGAGCCTAGGGGACCCATAAGAAGACATCATTGTAGTGCACTTGCTCAATTTTAACACGCTAAATGTCAGTGCATTGCCCAGTGTTCTACGCTAGGGGGTGATACAGCATCACAATCTTAAGTTAAGCTTTCCAGTGGAATGAGGCTTGTGAAAATATTACTCGATTATGCAAGTTGTGAGTTCAAATGCTAGACGGGTCAGATGATAAAATGAGTGCCCTTGTGGGAATTCAACGGTAATTGCGATTGGAGAATTTAGCTCTTTCCATATTAAAATGCAAAGACGTTATAGAAAGCCAGACATTTGGGGCAACTGCTGTCCGCGATCACACCCCGTAATTCCTGTACCCACAAACCGCCCTCCCTATACCCCATCCCTATTCACCATATTTTAGCTACCCTAATTGTACCACTCATAACCGTTGTTAAGCACCTTGGATAAAAGGGCTATATATAAGATAAGAACAGCAGTGTATTTTCCTCGTGCTGATATTAAACGCAGCACTGATAGGTGCTCATTTCATTCTGAGAGAAAGTAGGCAAGGCCCAGGATGGGTTCAGATTCCAACTCCGAAAGGTAATTCATGGCCAGGAATCAATCATAGGTTAGCATCATAGCAGAGTTTTTGAATTGCAGAGACTACGAAAAATTGGCCACGTATGTTTTGCAGGTGCCTAAATAATGCAACCAGCATAAATGAAACTTGGCACCTACGTTAATGCACCTTGCTCTGTCAACAATTATAAGCAAGGACTGCCGCTGCTCTTCCGTGTTCCCCACTGAGTTGCTTCACAGAAAAGGGGCTTTATTATGGTTCCTCTAATGCTTGTTTTTGTGTTTTTATGAATAAAGAAATAGGTTGTAATTGCAAACACAAGTGCGGTGTTCAAAGTGTGCGATGGTATCCACCCCTCATGAGCAGGTAGCATTATTTGCACCATTGGTACCCGACTGTATTTAATCACTGTTCTCTCTTTTTGCATGTGCTCGGACAACGTTCAAGGTAAAATCAAAGGAAAATAAATTAGTAAGTATTGGCTCTTTGTGTTACCCTTTTGTTGGCATCTTGCCTTCTTAAGTGCATCCATGTTACCACTCTCTGTAAACTATGATAAGATTACAAAGTTTCACCGACAAGCTGCACTCTCGGATATGTTTTAAGTGCTTGGCATAGGATCCTGAGTTCATACCTGGCGCAGAGTTGATTAGAACATGTTTTGTCAGCATTTCCCCCCCAATTATATTCCAATTGTGTGTGATGAGCTTCTTAACACGAGAATTAGAAATATTCATTTGAAAGCAGCAAACAGTACACCACCCTGTGTCAGAGAAAACACCCCTGGAAGACCATGCCACAACTGCTCGTGATATCAATCCTATCGATTATTTGTAAGTTTTAGAGCAGAAGTAAGTCAGGTGAAGTGGAAAAAATGAACTTGATGTGATGGGATGTTTGCTTGGCCAGTGGTGACTGGGCTGAGACCATCTGCTCACCACACTTGAGACACCATTTTAATATCAGGTTGGCTGCATGCATTTGAACTCGCAGTGCCATCTCAGTATTGTGGAGGGTGGGCAGGGGGGGGGGAAGTTTGGCAGCTCTGAATGTGGTTATGTTGGTCAAGCACACGCGTGTGGTGTTAAGTCCACAGTATGTGTGCCACCCTCCCACATGCCGGTGTGACTACTACATAGCAGCTTTCCCGTCAGCTCTGAGCTCGAATGGCTTTGCCACGTGCATTGCGGTGGTACGGAGTGGCAGCAGGCAGGCGGATCAGTTGGGCGTGCCAACGCTCGTCCGTGCTCCCACAGGTGACCATAGCCATGCCTACTTCAGCAGCAGTGCTGCTGGCTGTTGACTGGTAACTACCAATCGGATGTGCAGTTGACCGCGCTTTGTAGTTGGAAAAAAACAGCCATTAGCTCCTGGTTTATGTCAGAAAACACTTGGAAAGATGCGAATTTGCATCCTGGGTGTTACACAACGTAACACATTAAAGGATATATATTCTTGGTTCTTTCGGTCAAGTCACGTAGAAGGGAAACAATGAATCCCTGCAGTCACGAAAGCTTTAAATGAAAACATTAAAATATGCCAGTTAACCACATTTCAACAGTGCACACAGTCACAAATATGTTTAATGCTAGATTTGAAGCTTTCGTGACTGCAAGGATTCATACTCTGTTTTTTTTCGGTAAAGTCATGTAGGTAAAATAAAATTAAAATAAAACAACTAAATCAAATCACGACGTTTCAGAGGCAACACAAGCTTCCGTCTTCAGGTGGAACAGTCACAGCAAGATCGCTGCATCTTGATGCATGGGTGTCTATGTGTCTCTATGGGTGTCTATGTGTCTCTGCATCTTGATGCAGAGACACATAGAGACCTATAGACACCCATAGAGACACCCATAGAGACACCCATAGACACCTCCAGAGACACAGACACTCACAGAGACACCCACAGAGACACCCACAGAGACACCCACAGAGACACCCACAGAGACACCCACAGAGACACCCACAGAGACACCCACAGAGACACCCACAGAGACACCCATAGAGACACATAGTCACCCATAGAGACATAGACACCCACAGAGACACCCATAGTCACCTATAGAGACACATAGTCACCCATAGAGACACATAGTCACCCATAGAGACACATAGTCACCCATAGAGACACATAGACACCCATAGAGAGACATAGACACCCATAGAGACACATAGACACCCATAGAGACACATAGAGGACAAATAGACACCCATGCATCAAGATGCAGCTATCTTGCTGTGACTGTTCCACCTGAAGACGGAAGCTTGTTGCCTCCGAAACGTTGTGATTTGATTTAGTTTTATTTTATTTGAATTTTATTTTACCTACGTGACTTTACCGAAAAAAAACAAAGTATGTTTAATGCTGTATAACTGCACACACTGTATTTGCGAACGCTAGAGTAATTGCACAAATCTATATTAATGCTGTATGTAAAAAATACAGTTTTACTCAACCAAGCAGATTTTTTTATTAATTGTAAGATTCTTATTTTGTGCTTTAAATGTGGCTGCATGTTAAACGTTCGTTGATTTTTTTTTAGATGCATTTACATATAGTTTTCCATCTGTAGCACACAGTTTCCCTCTTCTTTGGTTCTTTCGGTAAAGTCACGTAGAATGAGAATAAAATAATAAATTGATAAAATAAAATAACACAATAAAATTCTCACGACGTTTCGGCCACAACACAAGCGGGCTCCAGACAGTCTCGTCCCTTCACCTGATGAAGGCCGCTTGTGTTGTGGCCGAAACGTCGTGAGAATTTTATTGTGTTATTTTATTTTATCAATTTATTATTTTATTCTCATTCTACGTGACTTTACCGAAAGAACCAAAGAAGATGAATCCTTGCAGTCACGAAAGCTTTAAATCGACAGTTTCCCTCGTTTAGCCATCTTCTTTACAGTGTCAATATGCACTTGTATATATGTTGAACTCCTTTTGCACCGTACGTAGCCAACCATGCTAATTGGAGGTGCGAGAATGCAGAGATACACTGAACTGTATCTCTGCATTCTGAGACCCGTGATGCCAAACGGAGCTGTTCTGATGTGCGGCGGTGAGACTGCGGCTGACCCGGGAGCTTGGCGAGGAGCTTCGAGCCTTGCTCTGTGCGCACGCGTGCCCGTTCCTGTGGTGTGCGAGTGCAGCAGGCGAGCAGTGACCCCTACTGCTTCGTGGAGTTCTACGAGCACAGGCACGCCGCGGCTGCACTCGCCGCCATGAACGGCCGTAAGATTCTCGGCAAGGTGAGCGCTTGAATAAACAGCTCTCTGTTGCCTCTTCTTTTTTTCCCCCCACTTTACAGCTGAGATTGACACCCAAGGCCATACCGAGCCAGCCGGGCACTGTTAAGGAGAGACCAGGTTGTTTTTCCACCGCAACGTGACCCATGCTGCTCCATGCTGTTGACGTCACACCCATTGAACGTGTAACGTCAGTGGTTGTATTTCACAAGCATAAAGAAGAGAAGGGCATGGTTGTGGCCTAAGAGACCTTGAGTTTGTGTGGAACAACAGACCAGGCAGCTTCCACACGAATGATTAAAAAGAGTGCTACTCGACATGAGTTAAGTGAGGCTTCTGCTGCAGAACCGCAGATGGCCATTGCCCCAACAGTAAACCCTCCACTCTCCCCAAAACCACCCCATTACTCATAGAGTTGGGGTGGTGGAATCTTTGAGACAGCATGCCAGCGAATTTTGTGTTTTTATAGGGGTTTATACTCGTGTCCCGCCGCTTCATAGCAAGCTCCAGGTTCAGCAACAGTCTCTCTCTCTCTCCAGGTTCAGCAACAGTCACCGGGCATTGTACAAGTTTTTGCACATGCACACATGCAGTGGGACCCCACACCACCCAGCCCAGATTTTCAGAGCTCATTCCGTGGTCTCTCTTCTCTCCTTTTCCTCTCCTCTGCCTCATTGTGCTTCTGTTGTTCTCTACATGTGTCTTCCTCCTGTCTCTGGCTCTAGGTCTGTATTGGTCTCACTCTCTCCCCTTCTCTCTGTTATATACTCCCTTGTGTGCTGCGGTGAGGGGTTGTGCTGCGTGTAGGTTTGTGTCTCCAGGCAACAGCTGGCTCACCCCGTCCCGCAAATGCACAGATTTTTGTTTACCATAATGGTTACATGGTTGCAGCAGCTCTTAAGTGCTCAAATCTAAGCGTTAATATCCCGCTTCGATTTATGTAGCAATATATATATTCCGTGGGATCTTATAATGTGAATCACCGCCAGTTATTGGCCGGATTCTAACCAAATATTTAGCGTACCCCTACTCAAACTTCGCTCTACTTAACATATTTGCTAACCATAACCGTTTTATTGAATTGCAAGTTAGGGCTGTAATGGTATACCATTTTCATGCCATAATATATCTGAAAGAAGTTGTGCTGTCTGGCTCACGGTGGTGATGTCACCGCGCACCTCTGTGTGATAACGTCACGCGCATCCCACAGCTGACTTCACATCTTCAACCGACCCACCACGGCCGTGTATCCCATGCAAATGTGCGTGCATTGCTATTTAAAACATTAAAAGTTTATACACTGACAAATATTTCCACACGACTGTCTGGATGAGCGTGTACATGAATTCAGAAACAGCAAGTGTACACGGTTGAAAAGTTTCATTGTTGGGAACGCAAGTATATGACTAGGATTTGTTTTTGGGAAAGCTGAAATGTAATTTCACCAACCCACGAATTAAGTCCCTTGTCATACAAACTGAAAAGGAGAGGGCCTGCTCGGCCACATCGCATCACATTACCCGGTATGCCTGCCAGCATTCCCTCGTGTCTTCTGTGAACCAAATCCTACCAATCACTTTGCTCCCATGCGTATTGTTCACTTAGAAATGTACAGGCAAATGCCTGTGTGGCCAGGAGTATCAAAGAATAGTTTTATGAATCTACTGCACGTCTTTGGTAGATGCAGTTTGTGTTGCGTAATCTTTTCATACACGTGCAACGAAATGACACTTAATCTCTGACATTTGGCCCATATTTTAAAGTATGTAATGGAGTTTCACATTGAGTTTTTCGGCAGCAGCTTTGAGAGGAAAATGATACGTTTCAATATTTAATTGGTAACCGTATCATTCATCACTGATGGCTACATTTTTCCCTTTTAAGCTGGAGGAAGTCCTTTAGAATATTGTTGAGTTGCTGGTTTTTTCTGTGCCTTTAGCCTACACTTTGACCTTTTGATGTATGTATAACAGAGATTAAGGGAAAACAAATGTGATCGCTCAGGTTGCCATGATCAAGTCTAGTGTGGCACGAGATTTGTTTTTACTATAATCTTCGCAAAATGTTTCGGCATCTTAATTTTCATGCAAAATCTGTTTCCTTTTTTGGCACTTAAAAAAACACCCTTTCAGCAACATTAATTACACAAACGGTGCGTTTATCTGCACATATGGGTATTGGCCAATTAGTTTTAGATTAACGAGCTCCAACTGCTCCGTGACAGCTGTGATGATGATGCGGCTCAGTCGGGTCACACGTGCATAAAATTGCAAGTATTGACTGTTGGGGGCGGGGGGGGACATGCTCAGCATGTCTGCAGGCATTGAGGCCATTTAGTCTCCCACATCCTTGGGTCAATTGAGCTGAGCTTGGCATTCCTAGAACACCCATCAAGTTTAGCCAATATGTTTAATTAAACGTTTGGTTGACGGTATGTGGCTGAAGACCCTGAAGACTGGACAATGAGCAGTCATCTGCCCAACTACAATGTTAAAGTCCCTAGTTGGCTGTAATAGTAATTTGAACCCATTCCATACAATATATACTCATTGAGAAACATTGATTTTCGACGTATGTATTCTGAGCCTAAAGTCATTATCAATAAATCGTTGCATTGTTACACTGAATAGCCATTGGTCTATCACCACAGTTTGTCAGGTTTCATTTGTTGAGATGGCGATCACTAGGCTAAACAATTTCCTTATTGCCATGTTTACACAGGAATAGCTCATTGAGCCTCATTACTTCATTCAGCAGGGTCCTGCCAAGTTTCCACAGTAGGGGGGGGGGGGGTGGGCAATGATTGTTATTTATAATCCAAAACTTGAGTAATTTGCGGGTAATATTTCAAATTTGGATTGGGACACTCGTGCATACAATGGCCTAGCCTTGTGAACGACGCCTGCTATGAAGCTGCATTTAACCTGCGGACCTCTGCAAGAAGCGGTGAACGCGCGGCTGCCATGCCATGTCACTACACCGGGCATTGTACAAGTTTTGGACTTTTGACTTGAACTAGCTGCTTTTGTTGCATTACTGTTGTCGTATGTGAGAGGGTCTTAGCAATGTTTATTCTATTTAATTGATTCTCGCAAGCTCGTGTGTAGCGGTTTTCTTCCATCAATTATAAGACCTCCACCAGTGGTCACCAGTTTCATGGATTTGTCCAGCAGTACAGGCTTTTTCAAGCAATATGACTCGTGAAACAGAAACAAACCACTCGGACACTCAGTACACTACAACCCTGAGTATTTAATAGATCAAAGCATCAACTGGTGTCATAAGCACGTCAACTTGGATCATTATTCTTCTACAGTATATATGGAAAATACGTGACCGACCAACGCAACCGTACGAACTGATATATGATGAAGAAAAATATGAATGTCTAGGTGTATAATCAGCCAAACTGTGAGCCCTCTAAAGTGTACTCCCCTCTTTTTAGTGAGGTGATTAAGTGATGTTATACTTGGAAAACATCTGTTACAAGGCAACCGCTAGGTGCTCCCTCCATGAGCGAGTACCAATACCTCCTCCGCACAGGTGAGGTTAAGGCAGCAGTCTCTCAGTCTCTCGCCACTCTTGGCTTGCAATAACTCAGACAGTCTGCAGCTGGCCATGCCTCTGCATGCACTGTTTCAAGGTTGCCAGCAAGGATGCAGTTCGCTCCTTCAGTGTGTGGCTGCACTGGAGTCCCAGTCACTGATGTGACTCGCAGTCAACCGCTGGTCGTGCCCACGCTAACGTACGGCAGGTGCCCGTCACTCCAGCTGGCAGAGCCCCTCACTGTCTCCGGTGTAACCGCCGGTCATGCCCACACTAACGTACGGCAGGTGCCCGTCACTCCAGCTGGCAGAGCCCCTCACTGTCTCCGGTGTAACCGCCGGTCGTGCCCACACTAACGTACGGCAGGTGCCCGTCACTCCAGCTGGCAGAGCCCCTCACTGTCTCTGGTGTAACCGCTGGTCGTGCCCACGCTAACGTACGGCAGGTGCCCGTCACTCCAGCTGGCAGAGCCCCTCACTGTCTCCGGTGTAACCGCTGGTCGTGCCCACGCTAACGTACGGCAGGTGCCCGTCACTCCAGCTGGCAGAGCCCCTCAATTGTCTCCGGTGTCAGGCACAAAGGTTTCTGCACCATTCTCATAACTTTCACCTCTAAGGTGATAAGTCGGACAAGGTATGCCTTGTATCAGACTCACAAATCAAAGACTAATATAGTATGCACATATGCAATACTTAACATGTGCCCACATATATGTGTTGCACTCCTTAATAGATATATCAAAACCAACCCACAGCAACTACAGATGCAAACTCTATTATTTAACCTTAACAAAATAGGAAATGCATTGGCATTAGAACTAAAAAGTTTACTCTCGAAGAACTCACCAGTATATGGAAAATATCTGAAAAACCAGACGGTCCTCTACCAGTCTGTAAAAAGAAAGTCTGTGCACCTCACAACAGACCGAACATTATATCAAGAAACAATAATTCTACTAGTAATGCATCAGAACAGTTATCTTGTTACCAGTGGGTCCTCTTCGTGTGGTAGCCCCTGGGATTCATGCCCTTCACATAGACTGACTTCAGAACGCCGAGTTCAATATTAAATGGAAATTTCCAGTCTTGAAATCACGCCCCTTCTCATAAATACGAATTACCGTTAATGCAACCAGACCATGGGATGATATAGAATCTAAGTCTTTAGACTAGGAGGCCGGATGTTATATCCATGTATGGTGTATGCTGCTTTTTGCAAGGACCAACATTTCAACTAACTTATTTTGGACAAAGAGCCTATGTCCTGTGAAAGGTCTCAGGTGCGATATCACTTATATATTTTTGGGCAGGAGAATGAAAGCCTCCCTTCCTAAACCATAACTCTGCTGATAGGAATTAAAGCCTTGTTTTAATGAGCATCAACAAATGTAGTATAATAAAGAGCAACTTCAAGACACTTGTGATGAAGAATTATATATCTAACTCGCGGGAAGTACC